GATGGTCCATTGTATCATTCCCCCCGCAATATTTTGACTATGTATGGGATGAAATGGAGCTTTACACACTTCAAAAGACTGTCACAGAAATAATTTTCACTGTCTTATGCGCTTACAAAGATGAAAATTAGCATATATAATGTATTAATGCTGATAACAAAATTATTTTATCTGCTCTTCTTTCCTTAGATGTTAGATGTGCTTGCAAAGAGAGCCACATTTAACACTGAAGGATGTACGACATCAGTAATGTTATGTCAATTCCAAGAATGTTTAAGGTTATATCGGTTGATGAGGAATTTATTGATGGCCTATAATAGCAAATTGCATCAATTTATTTTGCAAAAACAAGGTTTCCAGCTTCAGAGGGGGGCACATCTTGGGTCAGAGTGGGTATTTATTTTCCCGGTTAGTAATTTACCATACCCACCCCCACCCCACTAACCATATAGAAAAAAATACGACATGTTTTATCTTATTTATAATATAGACTACACACGTGTGTTTGAAACTAAATATAAACATTTTCATCACTGTTTTATTTATTACAAACATTTATTTCACCATCAATACACATTCAGGCCCTACTTTTATGTTAAGACGATCTATCTTAAATTTGTCTTTCTTGAGTTTGGGACAATTATGTGTTTAAATAACTTAAAAGGATAAACCTAAAAAATGCGCGCAACGCGGAAAATATTTTTGTGTTTTTAATTCTAATTTCGTCGGAATTGATGAAAAATTCCCTAAAATGTGCAATTTATAGAGGAAATCGCCCTATCGTAACAAGAAATGCGCGCACAAAATTTGAACATTTTAGGCACTTTTAAAGGATGCATTTGTCAAGGGGTGGGGAAAGATTTTCCAAAGATGGATATTTTCCACTTGTCCCCCGGTGTTTTTAATTCTAATTTCGTTGAAATTGATCAAAACTCCCTAAAATGAGAGGAAATTGGCCCAACACGAAATGCGAGGTTTTTAGGCACTTTCAGGGGATGAAAAGGGCATTTACAAAGAGGTGGGGAAGATTTTTCAAAAATAGATATTTTCCCCTTGTCCCCCAGTGGTTATGCCATCGGTTAGCATTGATCAAAGGAGTTATGACAGTATTTGAAGTGGAGTGTTGTGAGTCTCGACGGTCATTATGATATCTTCCTTTTTATATTTCTCTTCTCTTTTTCTTTTTCTTTCCTTCTTTTCCTCTTCTTTCTCTTTCCTTCCCTCTCCCCTCTTTCTTTTCTCTTATTACCCAGCCCGGTACGCCGGCTTGGTCAGCCCGGTAAACCGTCAGGGGAGGGGCAGTTTTTCCCCTACCCCCCCCCCCCCGCCTGTTACGACACTGGCTAACACGCCAATCATCCCCCCAATGAAAAATATTTTTCTACGCCACTGGCAGTCCCCGACGCACCCCAATGAAAAATACTTCTCTACGCCACTGTCTTCGAAGAAGTTTAATGCAAACCTTGCTTGAAATTGGAGGTCGGACCTGAATGATCACATCTAGCATATGGCGCTCTACATAAAGAACACTCACAGCACCTAGGCCTATACCATTCAAGGGGAAATTTAAAGTACAATATTAAATTTATAATCAAAAGAAATCGAACCTCTACTAGGATAGAACATGTAGGCCTACAAAGGCACACAATAGGCCTATGGTAAAAACTTGCATTGCACTGTCTTCATAAAGCAATAAACGAGGATAAATTTGTATAAAAAATATATATTTCATCCGAACAATTTAAATTATTAAATGTAACTGTTATATTTTAAATAAACTCTCTTCTTACGTCAAATCGGCTAAAGGGGAACATAGATTAAGTGTTAAGTGCAAGTACAAACAAAGGTACATGATTAGAATCAAATATATATTAATTTAAGCTAACAAAAACAACATCTAAAACAAGTCTACGTTATATTAGGCCTAGGGCTATATTTAAAAAAATGTAAAGTTTTCCAAAATTCGGCCAAATATAGATTGGCCGTGACTTTTTAAACGTTACGGCCAAGCAAATTGTTATTTACGGCCAGATTTGAGAAATCTGGCCGTCAAAAAGGCCAAATGGCAACCCTGCGCGGAACTCAACTCAGCTCCCCCCCCCCCCCCCCTGATGAGCACACATGCCTTTTGAAATTATGGCCCCACCTAACTGTGGCAAAGATCTTAGAAAAAACAAAATAATGGTTTAAAGTTGTTTACCGAGTTGCTTACCGGTACCTTATTTATTCGAATAAACCCCGAAATAAACACACTGGGGCGTTTGTTATTGAGAAGGGTTTTTGAGGGGGACATTAGGCAGTTTTCGCTGGACGACGTTAACCTTAACGTTAACGGACGACGTCATAATTTATTCATCTTGCGTTGCGGAGTACGTTAATTTCAGAATTTTACGTGCTCGACGTACGTTAGTTACGGGTTTGCGAATGCGTATTTCGATTTGTTTACAAAAGGGGCGGAGCTATCACGCTGCATGTCGGGTACTAACGTTAAAGTTAAGGTTAACGTCGTGCGGCGAAAACTACCTATTATTCGAGGGAGGCATTTATTTATTTATTTATTTATTCTTTTGTTTAAAATTGATGAGTAGGCTTATTCGCATATAAACGCCCCTTATTTCTCTGCAAATGCGTGACTAGAACACATATTGGCCTAAAATATTAATAGAATACGGTAATTATATGTTGAGAATGATGTTGCTTATAAATAAATAAACCGCCCAAAGTTTATTCAAATAAATACGGTATTCTGGGGCGGATGCAGGAATTGGTGGTAGGGAGTGCAGTGCACTGGCGCAGAGGTTTTGAAAGGTAATTAGTAGAAATGGTACCTGCAATGGTCGAAAATTACATTTTGATATAATAAAAATCATCAGAATCACATCACCATTATATAGTCAAAATGAAACGTCAACAAATTCTCATGATCTTTTATCAGTGATTTTCGGCAACCTACTATGGATCGTCTTCAATCATTTCTTGTTGAACCATGACAAACCAAACGAAGTTTCATTTAGAATTCAGATCAGTGAATCAGTTTCTGGTACTGTATATATAGTCTGGGACTTTTTCATTTCAACAGGCTACTCCGAGTATTCACCAAAATTTAGTAATTTTTTCACTGGACCATGACAAAATATTCTTGAAAGTTTCATTTAGAACTATAATATTGATAAGTTTTTTTGCGATATATAGGTCTGGGGCGTTATAATTATAATTGACTCTCAAATCACACCTGAATTCGGATCGTCACCAAAATTAAACAATTTATTCCTAGTAACTTGGTTAAAACTTTCTAAAAAGTTTGATTTAGATCAGTTGAGCATTTTTTTTTTAAATCTGGTCTGGGACGTTTTCTTTTGAATGGTCTTCATATCCACACCCAAACTCCGGCTCGTCATTAATCATTTCTTCTTTGGACCATGGCAACCCATCATGGAGAAAATAGTTTTTAATAAAGCCGCTTCATTGTTACAGCGAATGCGTCGCTTGCACATCATGCTGCTAAAGTGCCAGATGATGGGTGCTATTTGAGTTATAAGCTGTTTTTGTGTCTATGCCCCCTCGGGAGCTAGACACTATGTTATTGTCTAGTATTAACCCTGTAAGATCGAGTAAATCCGGTATGGAGGAATGATGAGTTATGAGCTAAAGACAAAAATAAATATAAGACCTGTCCTAGGAAGATCACTACAGTAAACAACACCACACATTTCTTGATAACCAAATGCCCATGTGGATACTTTATTACTAAACATAATACCTGTATAGTAAGGTAGTCTTTCAAAGTTGGGGAGTAACAGAGTGTGCGTACAAGTATTTGGAAGGAGAAAGCTATGATGTGTGTGGCTGAACCGTGTTTGGTTGAATCATGGTAGAAAAAAACAACAATTAACAAGTGGGGGGGGGGGAACACAAATGAATGGTATTATTTATTTCATATAATATTTATTTTGTATACAATTTTATCACTGAGAGAACAGATAATGATGTCAAAATATTGTATATACATGGAGGCTTCTTGATCAAAAGTTCTAGCCAGTATTTGATATGTTGGTCCCTGGCATGGCTGGGCTGCTGGGCCGCGGCTTGGTGCCTGAAATCGTAAATAGGCCGTGAAGTAAAAAGTTTGCGGAATGCTGATTTAGATCCATTGATAGGTTTATTGAGAGACGGGGGAGTTGAAAGCAAGGAGCTAACTAAAGCCTCTGTCCAAATCCAAATATTAGGGATTGGCAATCAAAATAACGATATTTGGATAGGCATTATTTTAAAATTTTGATCAGATGACCTTGTTGTGGACAGGGGGTAGAGGCCTGCCCTTCCTTCCCACTATGGCACTACCACTGTCATGAACCTGGCCTAATTATGGGTTACTACTGTAAGAGAATCTACCTCTAGAGTGAAGCCAGCGTGTAGGAACTAAATTTTGTGGGCCGTGTAAACCCTGGCCAGCAGTGGCTCCAAAAATATTCCAACGGGGTCAAATAAGTCCAACAAATGTTCCAACTAAATAGCCATAGAGGACATCTGGTCAGGGTTTCAGAGCAAAACCACTGTGATTGGGTCAAGGGAGGGGAAAAATGTTAAGGTTTATAATATTATTTGGTTTTTTAAAAGCTACAAAGCAGCAGAAATAAGATTAACTCACTTGTACATAACAATAAAAAGAACAAACTGGCAAAATGCAAATATTTGATTTGTTTTAATTGTGTTCATGAGAAATATAAGGAAATATCTCTACTAATGATATATTAAAATTAAATACAGGTAATTCATTGGTTTGCATTTCAGTGGAACATTTTACCCAGGGCTTCTATTCGAGGTTTTAAGGTAGTTTGTGTGACTACAATACAATATTCATACAGTAATAGTCTAACAAAAACACATTATAAATATGTGAAGACAGTGTTGTCATATTTCAATTTTCTGCTTTGATGTTGATGGCTGGTCTCGTTCTTCTTCGTATTCAATTTCAACTCGAGGTCTCTTCTTTTTAAAAAACTTTTTCACGCTTTTCTTGTCCTCCTCGTCTGCGCTACTTGAAGTATCATCGCTTGTGTTGTCAAGGCGGTCCATATCCTATAACAAAACATTTTTTTTTTTTTGGAAATGAATAGTTACACTAGATTAAATATTTTACATAAATATATCTGCAGCTGTTGGGTGTGGCCCTAAATTTGGGCCACCAATATTTTCCAGTGGGTCGTGAAATAAAAGAAGGAAACAATTATATTAATATTCAACCCCGAGAGTGTGCCATCTAGAGGTACTGTACCTATATGATTTCAATAGATGCACTATTATCTGTAACTGTGTCCCTCTCTTGGCTCAGCTCCCCATATTTCAATTCCTGACTCTTCAATTCTGTCACTAATAATGCTTGCTATAAAATACAATTACTGTACACAGTGCTCTAACATATGAGTACCGGTATATATATATATATATTCCAATCTGCAGACAGTACCGTTTCGATCTTGTTAGATCTCATCAGTGCAGCTCAGGATTTTTAAGAATGAAACACACCACTATATATATATATATATATATATACATACATATATATGCATGCATACATATATATGCATACATACATATATATGCATACATACATATATATGCATACATACATATATATATACATACATACATATATATACACATATATATATATATACACATATATATATATATATATACACACACAAACATATATATATATATATATATATATATACACATACATATATATATAT